TGTGTGTGTGTGTGTGTTACATGTCCATCAATTGAAAACATTAATCTTCTGTATAATGGATAATATTTATCCTGCCTATTGTGTGTGTGTGTGTGTGTGTGTGTGTTACATGTCCATCAATTGAAAACATTAATCTTCTGTATAATGGATAATATTTATCCTGCCTACTGTGTGTGTTATGTCTATCAATTGAAAGCATTGATCTTCGGTATAATGATGGATAATAATTATCCTGCCTAACTTTTATATCTGTTCTGGGTAAATGACTGTCTGAAAATTCATCATTTCCAAATTAATGGGAAAAACTAGCAAAGTGAGCCGTGTTATATGGCATGGAAGAGAGCCAAATCTTTCTAGGTACAAGCAGTCCTGTTATTTACTTCTCATTTCAAATGAGTGAACACCAATTCTGTTCGTTGCTAGTCTTTCATTGACAGTTTTTTTAAACTTAAGGTAATTTTAGAAGTTGTTTGAGCACTTTCAGCAACCAGGCTCAGTTATGGAACAGGAGACACATCTAGAAAAATTCTCAAAGCTAACGAACATACAATGTTATATACATTTTCTATAGGAAAAAAAACTATCGAGTCTTGAGTACAAGTTACCAAAGGTCACAATCCACAATGTACCTTATCCTTAGTTTGTCTCACAATATCAAGGTAAGCCATTCCAGGTTTGACCATAAGAAAATCTGCTCCTTCCCTAACATCCCGTTCCTGTTAATTGGTTAGATTACAAGACTTTCAAGAAACACTTTCGTCTTGAATTTAAAGGTAAAATTTTATCGTGGATCAAGTGGCACAGGCTGCTTGACCTTTTCCCTATTATCTTAGTATAAGGTGACAAGGATCAGTCACTTGTCCATCATAGGTGGGCTCCCCCTCCCCCCCTCCCAGCAAAAACTCTTGTTAACTTTCCTAGGTGACAGTTTCCCAGTACCCCTCCCCACCCTTCTGTTTGCTAGACAATGACTCCTGCTAAGCCTTAAGGTCAGATCTTTCAATCTGAAGTAATGAGGCCAGAATGTCTCCCGTCCCCGGAAGGCAAAGCAAATGTTGAAATAACACTTTCCCTTTAACGCCCAGGCATGATTGACTCCAAATCCTCCTAATATTATCAACATATTTTACCAATAAACAGGTGCTGCAGCATCAAATTCTTGGGGCTTATAGAGCTAACATAAATCTTCTCAGAGCACAGGGCTGGCAAAGGGCAAACCCTTAAGCTTGAAACAATAGCTTTAGAATCTTTGCAGTGGCCAATTCACAATATCGACTCAGTTGATAAAACCAAATTGCTTAAAATAAGGCCACCTGAGGCAACTAAAAAATGCTAAAATACCAAATCCTACCACAGCTCTGGCTGCAAGACCTTTAGATCCTGATGGCAACTGATAACATCTTCTATCACCAAAGGCTGGTGCACTTTTTGCTGCATCTCTGTAAGAGAAATGCAAACGAATTGCAAAGAGATGCAAGAATACATTAACGATATGACAGATGCAGTAAATAAAAATTTGAAAATAGCAGGGTACAGAAAGAACTGTATGCTTTGATTATTAGTAACAAGAGCCTTCCTTTATAATTTACAAATTACCTGAATGGACCATAAAAACCAGAGGCAAACTTTGCACTGTAGCTCATAACTGCAACCTAATGGAGATAATACATTAGAACACTCGCAGCAAGAATAAAATCTTTAGATGTTGATTAATACTGTATCAATGAGCTATATTAAACACAAATTTGAAAAATTCACTGATTTTCACTATGTAATACAATATACCTTTCCTCCATAACCATTCTTGTGTAAGATATCTTTAATAGCTGCTATTCTGTTGTCCATCATGTCTGAAGGGGCTACAACGTGACAGCCTAGAAGAGAGTTCATGGGTGAACTAAACAAAATTGTGGGCTGAAGGCAAACCTTTTAAGCTTTAGCATTCCATCTGTGGACATGAAGCTGTAATAATCCTAGCCACCTTTTAATTCACTGCGAGTGGAATAAGCTTTGGCTTGATAAGTCTTTTGTCTCAATAGCCAACTTTCCTTTACTACCACTGGTGGAAAAAGAAATAATTTTATCTAGCAACTCAGAGTCCTCTTCCATATGGGATGCTATTCCATCACAGGTAGCAATTCCTTTCAAACAGAGAAGATTCTACCCTATACTGAATAGAGCACTCACTTGGATCTTGGAGAGTTAATTAAGTTTTCTTGCTTGAATTCAATAATATCTAAAATAATGGTTACTTAAACAAACTAAACCACCTCTTAGAGGAAAATATTCCAGTTTCATTTTCATACCTGCCTTAGCATAGGATAAAGATATTTCAGCAATCCTTTTGATACTTGCTGCATTGTTGATGGAACCATCATCATAAAGGATACCTGTGAGTAAGACTTTCAGTTAAGAATTTGACTCTGTCTCGACATGTTAATAAAGAACAGAAAAATGACAATCATCCCAGTAGTTGTACTGAGTTGATGTCATTGTACATTGTACCAAAGTCCTGTTGGGGTCTCCTGCAATGATTCAGTCTAACCTGATTCAGAAGAGTGTATCTATGAAAAGCGCATTTATAAGGTTTTATTACTCAACTCGGGCAGTCAGAGGGCCAATAACTAAAATCAACCAATCAAAACGCTCTATTGCCGGTCCAATATTCTCTAAGTATTGGACCGGGCACTGTCCCGAATGGTCCCGAATGATACCACACGTGTCCATTTGAACTTCGGTCCTATAATAAATCTCTTATTAACCAAGCTTGCTTGGGATCGTACTGGAAGAATATTGGCCCTCTGTCTTTTTTGTACGGACCTCGCTATGCTCGGTCCATACTGTCAAGACCTTGGGCCAATATTCTCCCAGTACGGCCCTCGCGCTTGGTTAATAAGATTATGTATTTGTACAAGGTGTATCTATGAGAGGTGTATATGTAAGAGGTGTATTTAAGCAACTAAATTTCAAAGTTCTCTTTCACTGATACTTGCTATTATCCAGCTGTTCACTAAACAGGTGAATAACAGTACAACTATACATACACTATTACTCTGTAAGTGATAAATCATTTAAAAAAATATTATTTTATAACTTTAGATTGGTGATTAACAAAGGTATTCAGAATGCAAAAATATATATTAAATAAAAAAAAGACTGATCAAGACATAACCTAAGCAACCCAATAATAACTATTAGTATAATTTCAGAGCTGAGCAAAGAGTTTCCAGCAATCTGATTGGTCGAGCGGTTCCTTATTTGACGCTATATAAACCGCTCCACGCTGTTTATATAAAATGTTAAAATAAAATGTTAATAAATGTTAAAAAATGTTAAAATGTTAAAAATGTTAAAAACACACAACATTTCAATGACTCCATGTCATCATTCTCAAGTGAGAAGAGAATAAAAATGAATAGTTAATTTATACCGTACGAAGGTGACAAACGTAAAAAGTTAAAAATTTTTTTTTTTAAATTTAAATAAATAATTGCATGTGTTGAGTTCATAAATGTTAAAATTTTCTCGCTAATATTTATTCTTAAATCTCTGTTGTTCAACTCTGAAATTATACTAAAACAATTATTTGCCTCAGATTCGGTGAATATCATTGAATAATCCCCTCAACTTCATCTCAGGATTATTCGATGATATTCACCAAACCTGAGGCAAATAATTGTTAATTGTTATCCTTTGATTCCAAGTCTTGAAATGTTTGGTTCATAAGAAGAAAAAAATTGATGAAAACCGCAGAGAATATTACATACCACAGTGGCCATGGGTCGCATAAGGACAAATACAAACATCGCAGCAGATCAGTAAGTCAGGAAATAAGGATGATATCTTCTTTATAGCTAAGATCGCAGGGTTATCTTCACTGTCTGCATTACAAGCATCATCTGTCTTTACAAGGATACATGTATACACTGGTTATTAATACATTGGTGTTTATTTCTTAAAGTTATCATAATGTTCTGCTGTTAGTCTCCATTATTGGTTTCACCCCTAAGAATGACTAGCATCTAATTTCTCCTAACAATATCACGCCTGAATGACACATTAAAGGTCAGGAGAATAGAGGAAATGATCACCAACTAAAAATGCACCTAATTGTTGAACAATTTCTCCTTGCTAGCACCCTTGGAGGTGTATAGAACAGCATGGAGAATATGCATACTGTTCATAGGGTGTAAAGGGTTAAAAATTATATCAAAATAATGCAGCATCTAGAAGGACGCAAACAACATATTTATAAACTATGAACAAAAAAGTTAAACAATATGTATTCTCAGATGCAATGAATATATGAAGTTCATTTATTTTGAACTGGGGTATTAGATACGTGTGATGTACGATCGTGCATCATAGGTGAAAATGTATTCTCGTTAGTTGATTTCCTTCCCCAGTTAACTTTGAACTGTGAGTTGGTGTTAAATTTCTTATGCTACTGCATTGCTTAACTCCACTGAGAAATTTATCAAATCAGAAGGGGTACATCACATGATCCAACTCTATAGCATATAAGACATAACATAAGGGTAATTAAAATGATCCTTAAGACCTACTGCAAATATTTCATTCCCTTCCAAGTCACAACATTTGTTTTTTTTTAAATTTAAAATAAATTGCTAACAATCAGTGATTGCACCTTCTTTAGCCTTGAGAGAACTCCAAACAGCAAGACAGACTTGAGTCCTTTCTTCACCAAGGGTGAAACTATCTTTTCCACATTGTTAATGCCCATCCTTTACATAAAGTTAAATAATCATTCACTCATAGAAACTTCAACAGAATTTTGCCATTTTACAACTATGGTTGAGCCAAAATCACAGAAAAAGGCACTGGGCAGAAAGGAAAAATTTTCAGGGTTAACTCTTTTTTATGAATAATAGTTAGAAATTTGTCAACTTTTACACCGAACAGAAAAAATTTCTTGGCTGTTTTATGGCAAACAGTTAACCCCAATGAGACCCCCTTCTCCTCCCCTCTCCCCCCCATCACCCTTCCTGCCTCCTAAACCTCCAGGCTTTTGTCCCAAGTCCTCCTCAACTACTTAGTCCATTGTGTAAGTACAAGTACCAATTAATCCCAGTCTTTGAAAGACAATGTTCTCAGCGTTATGGACCTAGCTTTGAAACATAGCTTATGACTGATCTGGGATTACTTGTCTTTGATTGAAACTGGCGAAAAATCTTTCATGAAATGTCATAGCTTCGTAATCTGCAGGTTGACACTTCTGTAATAATAACAATAATGTCCTGTACTGACCTGTGCTGTCCGGGAAGACTTGAGATTTCCTCCAAAGCATCAACTTCATCTCTACAAAGACAGTAAGTTTTTAAACTCCCTGAGATCAGAAAACTTGCTCTATCTCCATTCAAAAACATCCACGAACCATAAACAGAGAAATCATTTATCACGATCAATTCATATTTCTCCCGTTATTTTTGCACAAGGCCTCTTTCTTAAACTACTCCCCCGTCCCTCCTTCCGCACGCAACATACAGTACGTCGAACGATATTCCTGTCTTTGTAGCTTCATATTACTCACGTGATGAACAAAGGGTATATCAAGTTCTTTGTTGTTATTTCCGTGTTTATGCTTTGCCAGCTCCTTGTAGTAGCGTGATTGTACCCACCGTGTAACGCTCCGTACGAGGCCATTTTTTAATGACCCTTCTAAATTCAGCCGCTGAGCCGAAGAAGAGAGGTGACTATGTCATTTAACATTCACGTAATTTAATCTTCGCTGAATTTTTTCAATTTCATCTATATTACCAATTGAAAAAAGACAAAACTCATTTAATATAGGGCTTAATTCAATTTCACTAAAAATTTTAGTTAAAATTTCCAAAGACCCGACAGGTTTGCAAGAATTTGTATCCCGCTACACATTATGTGACACAAATACAATGCATGATGAACCAATATTCTCGAAAATCGCAGGCGCGGTTTGCTTTGGACTTGCAAGATTTTGTTTAGCGGGGCGTCCCTGTCTAGCGTTAAATTCATTGGCAGTAAGTTAATTTTTCGGTTGCCATAAGATATTGGAACATATCTAAGCAAATTGGGAGTGAATGATATATTTCCCAAGAGTCATCTGAGTAAGTATGAATTGGTACTCTGTCGAATCAAGACCAATTTGTACAACGTCTTCCAAGTTTTAACTATATCTTTCGTTCTTATATATATATGTAGATATTTGTGAATATTTTGGCATTTATCCCGTGGAAGCCCTTTATTCCGCGAAGTATTACACAACAGGTTTTACTAGGAGGGTACATACTCACCACTTAAGAAAAGCGAAAGTCAGAGCCGCGCATGGGAAACTTTATTAGAATGCCCGTTTGTACAAAAAAAAAAATTACCTATCTTGAACCCAGAAATAACCGTAAACTAGATAATGTGGTCTTATCGTTTATTTAATGGTAGCCCTGAAAAGAAGCAATTAATTTGGATATATCAACAAAGTTGAAATGGTAAATTGGCCACCGTAATGATTACAAAAGCTGACGTTTCGAGCGTTAGCCCTTCGTCGGAGCGAATGAAAAGAAGCGTTTACAGTGTTGTTTGGTTACTTCAGTCAGCAAACAAATCTGATATGTGGTATCCTATTGCATTTAAGGACTGTTTTCTACAAACAAAAATGATTGAAGTTACATGTAATGATCGTCTTGGAAAAAAAGTACGAGTCAAGTGCAAGTATCCTTTTGAAGATATAACAGGATAACAGAATCCTTTAACCCTTACACCTAACATCGATATGCATGTTCTCCCTACTCTTCTCCATACATTTTCTTTGGTACTGACCGGGAGAATTTGTTAAACAATCAAGCTTCTTAGCTTCAAAGCTTCTTAGGTTGGTGATCATTTCCTTTATTCTCATGACCTCATTGAGTGACTCAGCAGTATTACTGTGAGGAGAAATTAGATGCTGGTCACTCTTAGGGTTTAAAAGGTTACTAAATTCAATCAGACACCTGTCTGGTAGAACTTAGTTTTTCAAAGTAGCGGCGTTCGGAAGCAAAAAGGAAAAACCAAGCAGACACTTTAATTCCAACATGGAAAACTGTAGACTCATGGTAAACAATAACTACTGTTAAAACAAACCACTACTCAATGAACTAAAAAACTTTCAACTCTTCTCTAAGAAAATTGTACACGTCAAAAATAAAAAAGTCTACGTGATTTGCCTACGATATTATTAACCTACGTAATCCCAAAGTACGTGCACGCGAGTCGCGCTTGCACAAGTTCGTTAATGTCTTCTTAACAAGAGGTTTCATCCACAAATTGCCTGTATTCACTTGACATTCACTCGAAAAATTTCCCTTTCATTGATACTATTTCAATTACTCAAAACTGACTCTTACTGTTAAAAAAGCTAGTGCTATCAGAGAGATATTCAGCCATTTGATTATCAACTAGAGGCTGATAAAAGGTTAATAAACATGCTTTGACCATTATTCTTTGTTCAATCAAATGTCTAGTCTTATGTTGAACTTTGTACTTAACAATAAAATTTCTTTGTAAGTTATTCTGTCCTATGGCATTTTAAGTTCATTCTTGTTATGCATTCTGGCTGTGCATAATTTCATGTATGATTTAATATATTCACATGATGACAATGCCAAAAATATGGTTAGGATTTTTCTTGAGTCTGTTGTTAGTTCAGATGATACTGTTGGAGATTTAAAGAAACTAATCTCTGCACAGACAGGAACCAAATGGGACAGAATAGTGCTCAAGAAGTGGTATGTACACTCATTATTTTCTGTTTATATTGTTTCTTTATATAATAAGCTGCATTATTAAAAACTGGATCATTGGATAATGCAATTCAAGACATTTTATTGGCTTAACCATTATGGTTTATCAGCCAATATACCATAATCTACAAAAATAGTAAGCATAAGTGTCAGCGTAGAATTAAAAGGGAGCTAAAAATTTAATAAAATTTAATAACTTAATTTAACGTTTTTAATAAAACAATTATTCCACTCGTGCTTGTTGGATATGAGATGATTATAGCCAACTTGGCGCTATACACCTTGTTGGCTATCTATCATCTCATATCCAACGTGCACTCGTGCAATAATTGTTAATTATGCAACATTATGATTGGTTCCTTCTTATGATCTTTTGGAGGACAGATGCACAAAGATGACCTCACCATTAACAATCTTTTTTTGCTTCTTTTAAATAAAAAACAAATAGATTCCATGTTGCCATGCATCTGTTCAGTAATGGATCATGGAGGAGGTCAAAATGTGGTTAGAATATCAGGGGCACACTTGGTTACACCATAATAATGTGCCACTCTTTTGTACTTACTGCATTTTGATATCTGTCATCTGTCATCTGTCATCTATTACTGAACAGACACATGACAATATGGAATCTACAAATTGAACAATTCCACTTTTTGAACAGTGAAAATTTGGAAAAAAATTCCCTGTGTGATTTGCTGATTTTCAACAACCTGTGTTGATCAGCTTACGATACAAATCTGAGAACATTTTGTGAAAGATTGTAAAAAATTTGTACTGAATTTACTTGCAGGTATACCATCTTTAAGGATCACATTACACTTGCAGACTGTATCTTTTGATACAAATTTTTTGTTTCATAGATCTAACCCTTTCACTGCCAAGATCTCATTTGTAATTCTCCTTACTGTCTGCCATACAATTGTTGTGATGTTGGATAAGAGAATTTGGTTATTGGATCAACTAATAATTCCCTAATTGAGGGGGGAAGGGGAGCTATCCTCTCAAAAAAATGCATAGACATGAGAAGGTATGGTGTAGGTGACCTCAAGAGTTCAAACATATATCAGGGTCATCCTCGGTGTAAAAACCTGACGAGGTTTTCTTTATTTCATGAGGTATTGTTTTGCTGTATGCTATTATTTCTAATGTTTTGTTGTCTTTGTTTTACGTCACTCATGAGCTTCACAGGTTTTTACATCGAGGATGAGCCATATATCATGTTGTTATTCACAGAGTAGTGTATTCTATCTGATTGGATACTTACCACTAGCAGTTTTGAGAATTTAAGAATATTCTGTGTTTATAAACTCTTTGTGAGACATTTTATTTACACTTCCTTAATGCATTACCTCAGATGAAATCCATGATGGAATGAACTTAGAGTTGTACTATAACTAAGCCTCCATACCAAACAGTAAATGTCAAGTCCTACCCCTGTGATAAATGTATTTTAGGTGCTCATCGCAAGGTTTCTTTAAGAATTTATTAACTAAAAATGCAATATTTCTACATTTTGATGTATCTTTTCAGTGGCAGTCACATTACTACACATTTGATCTGCTAGCTGCTTTTTACAACAGTTATAAATTGTACAATGATTTATCAAGTGAGGAGATACATACACAAAACAGCAATGTAAAAGTCAGGATTTTTTTCTTTTGAACTGTGGTGAACCTTTCCATTCTGCATCACCCTTCTGGCCTCTAATTTTAGTTTATGTTTAACCCCCCTACATCCTGACATTAGTTTGGATATTCTCTGTCAAAAGATCCGAGTCGAAAAACCAAAACAAAAACATGTAAGAGCCGTTATGTAACAATGTCACAGAGCATGCGTGTCACGCATGACATCCCAACCTGACATTTTATACTGATTTCCATGCATTTCCTAGGTGCTCAGCTGACAAAGAGAATCTGTTTAACAATCGAGGGCCTGTTTAGTTGGTGTTCATTTCTTGTATTCTCATGACCTTATTTTGTGATTCAGCAGTGGTATCATAAGGAGAAGAGGGCTGACATTATTGTCAGGTTTTGTAGCTGTAAGCACAGGCGACCCAAGCTCTCTTTAAGAACCACATAACGAATACAACTTGCATAAGGATTTGTATGGGATTTTCTAAAAGATACCCAAGCGGTTTTTTTAACCCTGGTTTTGTCCTCTTAAATCAAGTTAAATCAGTAAAATAACATCACCAGGAACAAATAACACACATACGAAATAAGGTAAGCCATTTTTAATTGATATTTTCACTTTTATAATTTAACTATCTCCATGGATATCTTGTGGAAAAAATCTCATACAAATCCTTATAAATCGATATGCAAATTGTGTTCGTTGTGTGGTTCTTAAAGAGAGCTTGGGCTGCCTGTGCTGTAAGTTTTTAAAGGGAATTTGTACTTACTTTTAATTACTTCAAGGGTGCTGAAGATGACCAGTTGCTTTATGAAAATGCTGTTGTAAATTCAACTCTGAATTATACTCAATTATTGCGTAATCTTGGGTACTTTCATTTGTAAATACTTACAGGTATTAAACTTTGCTGTAAACTTTATAAGTCTGAGTAGGGGTGCAACTTTTGGTTAGGCTTATCAGAATCTTGGAGCTCCCTAAATCTAACGACATTAAGCCGCGTCAAACTACACTTTGCTTGTTTTTTTGTTTGATTAGTGAAGATGATTTTGACATTATCTTCTCGGATTGACTGATTAATCACATTCGAAAAAGAAGACCAGGGAAATTTGTTAACTGCTTAACTCTCATGGAAACTACCTTACAAGCCGCTCTGTCAAAGACTATTAATTGAAGATGTCAATTGAGCTTTTACGGAAAAAGTATAATTAAGGTAACAATCTTCTTCTTTATAAAGAGCGTCCTCTCTTAAGAGGAAGATGACTGGTCTCTACGTGC